TGGTTTGGCCTTTTGCCAATGAAGTTACCTCCATAATTTTGTTCAACCATTTATGTCCTCTCGGCCCGTTTAGCCCAATTTACTGTGCAGTAAATGTAGGACCGGTAGGAGGAGTGTGATGCCCCATTGTCTGTAGCAGGGCAGAGAGTGAAATAGTTCAAATCGACACATGTATTAACGATGAAAACATTGAAGGCCAATGAATGCTCCAACCAGCAGGTAATCTTTTTCATTGCTCATTTTAGTCCTACTCCCCTCCCGGTAGATGTAGTATTTTTTGATCCGCAAACAATAACAATAGTGTTGATGGTTTTTTTTTGTTTTTGTTGTTATATCAACGAAATAAAATAGCATTCATTGCCTCATGGCAGATACGATGTTAAATAATGGCATCTTAATGGAATATGACTTTGTCCAAAAGAATGGGACATACATTCGCACATACTCGTACAGTTAGGCCCCAAGAAGAGAAAGAAGTTGATAAATGGTCCATGTTCCTATGGAATGAGTTATTTATTTTCACATTTATATTTGGCTTTTCCATTATCTGCTTAAGTTATATCTTAATGTATAAAAATAGAATTTATTGTTATTGATAAACCTTAACATTGATTAATTGATTTACTTCTACTGGCATTATTCTATTCGAAGATGTACAAAACAAAAAACGGAGGACAATCGGTGGGGATGAAAGCGGGTACATTTATAATTACCAAAATAATTGAAATATACAGTAGAACCAATAAAAGGAAATCTACTCCTTTATTTATCTGAACTTTTGAGGTATCGTATTTATATGGACTTAACAAATTTAACCTATTTACTGCAAGGTCTACTATAAGAACACGTAAGCTGTTCTTATATTATTTCATATTTTCACCTTAAAGTGTGATAATGCCAATACTAAACCGTATTACAACCCATAGTAAACAATTTAAATTACTCTGCATTTGGATCATAGTTCCGTCAAATAGATATGGCGTGCTAGGCGTAACTTAAAAAATATATTTTCTTTAACAATTCCTCAATATAATTCATTTGCCTCCCTGATATAATTTACCTCAATTGGTTTTGCACAGCCACAAAAAATTCTCGAACACACATAAATAAATTTCCATCAGAACACCCTGACTGGCATTGCTCTCACTTATTTCCGGTTTGGTCTGGTAATGGCAGGGATAAATATCAATATGTTTATGTGAATATTAAAATTATAAAAACGCACACACACACACATACACACAAATGGAGAAATGAAAAAGAAGAAGAATGTTGAACAAATTCTTGTGAACATTTTTATGTCCTTCATGTTTAACCTTTGACAAGAGGAAAAAGGAAACACCGACATGTGAGTGTACACAGATTCATACAAGTGGCTCAACACCAATGTCAACGCTGCCAACAACAGCAACGCCAGCGATTCGATATGGCCCACTCACACTCAAGCACACACAATAATAATGATAATACAACTTGGTGCACACAACTCTCACTCTTCAGAGTGTGGGCTCCCCTCACAAAACGGAAGTTAAACAGACGTTGACAGGAAGGAATTTCAACTGTGAACAAATGTCACAGCATAAGTAGCAAAGCAAACGAATGAATGTCACAAGTATTGCACAAGGGGCGAGCCAGGGAGGGGTACGGGCCGAGACATATCTTTTGAATGAATATTAAAAAATATTTGCATTTATATTTCAGCAGCATTCCATTATTCGCCTTTTTAAGTTGTGGCACTTCACATTACTCCTCTTTCGCCCCACGAACCAAGACATAAATGCTTAGCAAGCAAATGCAACAGAGTCGGTGGCAGCAACAGCTGAAATTGCAAAGCAAAAAAAAAACGCTTTTGGTTGCCGCTTCGCTTAAACGGAGATTTGCCACTTGGTCGACATTGCATCGCAGCAAAGAAGAGGAAAATAAAACAATAATAAAGACAAACAAAGGTATGCAAGTTGCGACTTTAAGTGGCATGTTGCAACATGACACCCATCTTGCCAAAGAAATAAATGTCAGTTTTCATTGTGTGTGTGTGTGTGTGTGTGTGTGTATATTTCTTTTGTTCTATTTTCATTTCCACCAACTAACTAACACCTTTTGCCCACTTTACTCAGGGATTTCTCCCTTTCTTGCATTCAAAAGTGAGCAGCATTGTTTTAGGTGTTACCCTAGCTAGAAGAATCTCCATTTTGCTCCGCCTTGGAGCTATGTGTTTTCGTTTGCTGCTAAGAAACTATTATCTAGTTGTTAGGCTAATTTAAAATAGGGGCTTATTAATCGAAATTATTACTTGGTGGAGTAAAGTGATGAAAAGTCGATGCAGACAGCATTGTACAAAAATTCCACATAAAAGAAAAATTATAATTTCAGATATGACATCATTTTTGGAAATATTATAAAGTTAATTAAAGCAAATAAACCGACTTCACGCCAAAAGTCCAGTATGCTTGCAAAAAACACTTAAAAGTTTCTTTTTCTACGAATTGGAATTAGGATTGAAAATATATCAAGGTGTACTTCCTGTTCAAATCCTGTATCAAAGTTAAATCAATTATCGTAAACGGTTTTTATGCATATCGAGATATTCCTCGTACATGGATCGCCCTTACAGAGCATCCCTTCCAAACACATCTAGAAAATCCTTAGATTTGCCATATGTTAACATCTTTCTATAATCTTTTCATAAATCTTTCTTTTTTCCTTTCCATATTTAGAGACGCACTCATTTACTTTAGTATATATCAGAGTACACACTCTCACACACACACATATACAGAGATACGCATCACATACGGGCTTATATAGGCATGTAATTGTATAAGTACATAGTTTAAGTATTTCCTTTTTAATTTGAATGATTCCAACGATGATGACGATGTGTGTGTGCGTGCGTTTGTTTACACTGGATTGCGGGAGGACGGTATGGATGGGTGGATGGCTACAATTTTTGTGCCAAGTCATCATTAAAATAAACATTCTTGTACTCCATATTCAAGTTGTGCATTGTTCGTGTGGTTAAGTAGGACAATAAGGATAAAGAGGGACGTTGCTTTAACATCCTTTTGACTACATTCATGTTTTTACATTCTTCTTTTTTACAACAAACAATGTTACAAGAATAAAAGCAACAACAACAACAATATGCATACATGTTATAAGTATATCAGTCTGTGTGCCTGTGTGTGTGTGTGTGTTTGCCTAAGTAGCGTCTCTGATGTTTGTCTAACAATAATACACTCTCGTTGTCTTCGTTTGTTGTCGTTATAATAAAATCTGTTCTAATGCATTATCCTGATGCATAGATGATGTTATTCTCTTTTTTTTTTTGGTTGACTTCTGGTGGTTGGATTGCCAAAGTTTCCTCCATTTCCTCACTGGATGACTCACTGCAGATGCTGTGGTACAATTTGACCAGCCAGCCAGCTTAGATGGTCATGCACCACTCAAATAAAATTGTTGGCCGCCCCTCCGCCTGCGGTATGACAGAAGTGCGAGTACATAATGAGGATGTTAAGTAAGACATTCTCAAACATTTGTGTGTCCATCTGTCTGCCTGTGTGGGGGATTGATAGCAAAGAAAACTTTTACGGCTGGCAGATGTTGTGGTTACGCTCGACGAAAGTGGTTACATTGTACAAAATTGCAGATGTTGCACAAATTGGATGGTGAACTTTTAATTGTCAGCAGGGAATTTGTTATTGTTTTCTACTTGAGTAAAGTGTATTGTATTGGTGAAGTGTAACCGATAGAAATGTCAGCTATGCCCTTAATAGACTTTAGCTATTAAACTGCATTTACATTACAACTTTTGTATGGTTAACCTACTCTATGAGGATTTGACATATAATATATACAATGGAATTGATAATATAGATCTACTGGATTTAATAAATCCAGTACAACGCAAACGTACTATTAAAAGAGGCAATGTCAAATACAGTATGAAATAGTTTTAATTTTTTACTGTGGACTAATAATAACAATAATCATAAGTAGTGGCGATTGAGTTCCGATTGAGAAAATATAACAACATCTTCAGGGTAGTATACAATCGACCACTACGCAACATATCAGTTCGAGCAGAAATGATTTTTGTTTTGCAAGAACATCGTAGCCAATGTTTTCCCTTTGTGCTAGATATATTCCTTTGATAGTAATTATAAAAAATATATTTATTATTTCCTACAACCATTGCTATACTTTGAATTATTCATTCATTCATTGCTTATTTTTTCGGGTGTATTTTTAGTCTACATAAATAGGGGTAATTCTGAGTACATTAAAATTGTTGAGATTATAGATTTCATAACAATATGCTTACACTTCAGTTAAGAGGAATATTCTATTTACGTAGATGGAGAGAACGGAAGTGTACAAAGGAAGAAGGTAGGAAAAATACCAAAACATTAAAAAAGAAATGATTTATAGACCTGTAAACTTAGGTAATATAAATACGTACGTTTACAGATTTTTTGAAAAATAATCTACTGAGTATACGAAATATTTTTGCTGTTGTTCCCTACACATTCTGCTAATTTTTACTACGAAGCATACGAAGATCTCCATTTAATTATAAAGTATTTGCTTTATATGAAAAAATACAAATATTGTATATTATAGTTGCGATTCTTCTCAATACTAAGCATGCTGCCAACTAGTGTATCGAAACCACAATGTGACTACGAACCGCCATTCTTGAACACATCGATCGGCAATACACCATCATACAATTCATATTTATTTCTCTTATTCTGTTAAGTGCACCTACTCCCTTGGATCCTTAGGCATAATACAATGGAAGATAATATCCCATTGTACATCTCGGTATAATAATATCAAACAAAAACAGCTTCTTTATCCTGAACTGAGAATCTATTCATAGAATTCTAAGCTTTGTGCATACAAAACGTTTGCGTTGTGTGGTCGGGAATATCTAGATTTTGTTTTCTTCCCAATTCCCATTATTGTGTTGTTGTTGGTGTTGGTGTTGTTTCACTTACCTTATTGGAGTTACCATTGAATTTCAATAGCTTCTTACAGGATTTGCCACGACTCTCAAAATAGATTTCTTGTGGAGTGCGACGATGCTGTTGGCCCTTTTTCAATAGATTCGCATAGAGCGGATTTGGTTGTTGGGTTGTTATACCACCACCATAGACACTATCAGTGGCATTGAATGGAATTGTGTTGAAGTCAGCACTGGATGTAGCCGTCTTGCCACGATTGTTGCCGGAGGAGTATAATAGACTTGAAAAAATACCACAACAACCAGGAGTTACAGCAGGACCTGATGTTCCCGGTGGTGGCGGTGTTGCTGTTGGTGAGACACTGCGTAGCAGTCCAGCCTGCCGATGCTGCTCCTGCTGCTGCAGCTGCCGATGATTGTTGTTAAAGGAGTGGCTGTTGTTGTTGTTGCTACTGCCATGGTTGCTACTGGTGCCACCGTGACTATAGCTGCCGGCCGAAATGGTCTTGAGCTCTATAGCGTTTGGTGGCTTATGAAGATTTACATCGATTTCCATTGTTAAATGTGGCACTTTGTATGCATTTCCGTTCCCACAGCTGTTATGAGATGTTTCCGCTGTACAACACTATGTCCTGTTTCCTTGTAAGTTGAGCTGATACTCAGGTTGTTAGAGAAGTACGTGTGTTTGTGTTGTTGCTGTAGTGGTGGTGTAGTTATTGTTATTGTGCCGGTCACTGCATGAATTGTTACGTGTTACACCGTTTGTGATGTAACGTACGTGTGTGGGCGTGTCAAGTATGCCTGGCTATGCAGATGTGAATGTGTAACTTCGAACTTGAACAGTTATATCCGTTTCCGTTATCACCAACCGGATGTATGAATTATTTGCAATAATTGTATTAGTTGTTGTTGTTGTTGGAGACTTACTGATCCCTTTCCAAGGGTTGTTGTTGCTTTCGAATTGTATTCAACTTGTTTCGGTTTATTTGTTGTATTCTCGTTTGTTTATCTGTTTATTTATTTGTTATTAACATCCGTTGTTAGCCCCGCGTCATTTGTTGTACAGAATTCATATGCAAATCACGGATGTTTGTATTTTTCTAAGCATATTAAAATATTTCCCCATCATATCCTGTAAATTTGTTTTATTGTAATGGGGAAGAGTTTTTTTTTTAATAAATATGCTGTTGTTGTTTCTGCTGCTGTTGCTGATGTCGGGTGTGTTTTTGGTGGTTTCATATTTGATCTGAAGGGTACCCAAATGAATTGTTTAGACGCCAATTTACAAACATAATGGAACCCAAATTCGCTTGAGAACTGAACAGAAATGGAAAATTGTGAGTATTAAGGATTTATATTGCTTTTATTGTGTCCCGATATTCCAAGTAATCATATCCCGGTAATGAAGAATATTTATATTTGACTAACTTACAACAATATGTTTCATATTGGAATACTAGGAAAATTGTCCGATATATTTGATGCTTTAAAACTATAATTTATTGTGACAAATACTTCTTTTAGTACCATTCAAACATATATACTATTCTACTACTATATATTTTGTTCGTTATTTTCTAGAACCCGTATATACCTACAAACAGGCATAACTCTGCAAAATAGAGGGTTAGTCATTTCGTGGTTTCAAAACTATGGGACTGAAATTCGACATTTGTCAAACTATGTTGTCAAACAAGTGTATTCAATTGATAGCCTGCTTCTGCGCTCCTTGGTCTGAAGGTGCCAATCCGGACCGTTATGGTCATATGATAACCGATTTTTTTGCCTATGGCCAACATATTAATAAATTCATAGCGAAAATATAGTCTTATTTAGACATATATATATATATATATATTATTGCCCAAAAATATAGAAATATATAGACCCATTTTTTAAGCTGAATAAAATAATTGTTCTACGTTTGTTCATTACTTTGCCTTTGTTCTGTCTGGTTGTTCCATTCTAATTGCTGAGCACTTGTTGTTGTTTTCTTTAGTCCTTTTTGTTGATTGTTTTATTACTCTTGTGTTCGTGTGTATGTGTTTGTTTAGCTTTACAAAACATTTTTTGGCGGCATTGTCTCAATTGGCCTCCAAAATGTTCAAATCCTTCGGCCGCTGTCGCATTTACTTTTTAAGGATTCTTTTTGATCCTTTTCATGAATTGCTTTCGTTCTTTGTGTAAAGCTGGGTAGACTTTTCTTTGGCTGTTGTAAGGGAACAATTTTAAATGCTCCTGTCATCACATCTGTTAGTCTTGTTGCTATTGTTGCTTTTGATGTAGCAAAAAGCTTTTGTCTCTTAGCACTCAATTTGAACAAGTTGGGCTTAATTCATTAGATTTCTGCCGTCGAAAAAGATTTCCAAATTTCCATTTCACAAACGAGAAACATTAATTAAAAATTCTTGAAAAGAAACAACAGTTCTTGGAAACTAGCCGACCCAAAATGCAAAACATCTAAAAAGAGATTTCCAAGAAATATTTTCATTTCACTGAAGCAGAAAAGAAGATATATTTATTGTCTGGTCTTTGACGTGGCGACTGTATTTGTGTCATTCACCTTGTGTTTGTTTGCTTGTTGAATGTGATGGGGAGAGAGGAGAGAGGAGAGAGGAGGTAATCCTACGCAGTATATTTTAGTAAATAAATCAGCACTCAGAAATATGAAAAACAAAAGACCAACGACATTTCAACATCTTGATCAAAAAATATACAATTGATTGGTGGAAAATGAATACAGAAAAGAAATGGAGAATGGAAAATAATTATAGCTCGCTTTTGGTCAAACCCCGACAGAACAGAGTTCTCTTTACTTTTTCAAAAACCAAACCAAACTTGAAATCCAAAAATATGAAGCAGGCTGAATCGGAGTAAAAAAATATTTCGAGATCTTCTCTGGACAAAATTTTTCTAAGCTTATATAGAGAAGCCATTCGTTTTGAATCAAGGCTTTTGGAAAAATACCTGTAAATAAGAGACAAATCCTTTAACCATTTCGACCTACAATATAAAATCTGGTACACTTGTTTAAAACATTTTCCAAAGCAGACTATACCGGTTTAGAATTTTAAACCGATGAGATGCCACAAAAATTTACAAAAAGCTCTGCAATCGAAAATATTATCAGAGCATATCAGTATGTGGTATCAGTAGTAATAGTATTAGGATTCGATTATTTGCACAACTATTTGAAAATTTTAATTTGATTTTGTTCCAAACGTTATATTTTAAAATACGCCGACTCTACAGTGATCTTCCTTAGATTTCATTTATTTTCTTTCGATTTTGTCTATCCACGTAATTTTCTTGCCATATATTGTAATATTATCTACACTTTAGTTTCAATTTTTTAATTTTTTCCTCCTTCGCACTACCCTCCTACTAGCTGCAGACAGCAGCAGAAGTTTTTAGTTATAACGATATATAATTTAACGATCAAAGTTTAGCCGGCAAGTAACATCGCACTTGCATCAAATTGCGGTAGCCGACAGCATACATACGAGTGTATACGTGTATATAGTATAAGCATCCATTAATGTATTGAGCTGTATACTAGGGCGTATCCGGAATTTTCAATGTGATGAAAATAAACCTATATATGCTGTCGTATATCGTATGGAGTATAGAAACATGCAACAACCATAAATTCTACTTATTGGATACATCAGGTGCAAATAAAATGTAGTTTTGAACCCGTAACCAAATTGGTATTCTAGAGAATATCATGTAGTATTTATTCACTATTTTACAAAAAAAGTATACATATCCCTATATTGCTGAACTACTCTAATAGATACGTACACACACCCCCATATACATTTAGTTAGTTTGTTTCGGTAGTGAACATTGCCAAGTAGAAGTACTTATGTTTCATTTAAGTTTTTGGTATACAAGAATAAGAATTGAACAACAACATCGAAAAAAATTACAAAAAAAAAAACTCACGAAAACTTAAAAATAAACGGCAATTTATTCGATAGATATTTTGGAGTTAAATTTTCAATTTGCGAAAGTTATAAAAAGTACGACCTTTGAAAAAGATACCAACTAATCTTTAACACTAGAAAGACGGGAATTTTGTATATACCTATATTGCCTAAAATCGGTCAAAATGACTTCATTCTGAAAAATTTTTTATTGTGTAAAGAAATTTTTTTAAACTATTTTTTTAATATTTGTTACATTATTTACAATCATACAAAACGTTGTTATTATTTGTTTTCGGTGGTAGGGCTCTCGGGTTTCCCCTTTTGAAAAATAAGAGCGCGACAAAACGTTCGAAAAAAGAGGAAGACTTTACTCTAAGAGTGAAATCGACTGGAAATATAAAATTAATTTTTCCCGATTTGTGTGTTCGTATGTGTTTCTAGAGTAGCAAACGGGTTTCGATGTTGTTGTACCGATCTGGTCATATAAGAAATTTACTTTATACAGTAATATAAGTAGTTTGATTATTTAATATTTCAAAAAGGTCAAAATGACCGATTTTAGGCTATTTAGGTATAGCACATGTGAATACGGGGAATGAAAGAGGGGAGGAAGCAGCTACTATGATTAATAAACGTAGTTCTATGTGGTAGAAAAAGTCACCAAATTTTAAAAAGCTGAGTCATAATATATACAATTGTTTTTGTACTTGAAATTTAAAAACCGTCAAAATGACTGCTCTCGGCAATCTAGTGTTAAACTTTAACTTTGTATTCAATGTTCGTTAAATTGTTCTTATTGAATGTTTATGCAGCTAAAAGGGGGCCTATAATAATGGAAGCAACTTGTTGTAGTAAAATATATGAAATAATAGAACCATTCAATTAACGACATTCTAACATCAAATAGTTCTCAAGAACATCCAAACATTAGTACTTATTTACAATAATTGAAATATATCCCAGAAAACAAAATCTTCTTGAAGTAATAGATATAGTATTTTTCGCGAATATCCCGCACATCCGAAAATAAGAAACATATATGCCATATGCGAATTATAAAATAGTAAACAAGTGTATCTTTGCAAAAGTTTTAGAAAGCCATTTTCATATAGCCATCAAAATAACACTACCAATTGATTTTAGGATAGAAAGCCCTAGTCTCATTTTCCAACCAAAATAAATGCGGTATTGTAGGTAATGCTCAACTGAATTTCTTGCACCCCATTCAAATTTTTATGTATGGATTGAGTAAATATTTAACGAAATAAAAACTAAATTGGGGTAATACTTATCTAGAGTTGGCGTGGATATTCTTTTCAACTTTGAATAAGGAACTCCACATGGGAAATGTCCGAATTGCTAATGCGACTTAAATGATTGCGTTGAAATATAACATTCATATAATATTCTTATGAGTCAGTATGTTGCCTTTTCCTTTTGATGGCGAACGTCAACATGAAAAGGGTTTTAAGATGTTCGGTAAACTAATAACTATTAAATATCCCATTAACTTTACTATAAAAATAAAGGGATACGATTAAATATCCCATTAACTTTACAATGGGTGACATGTAATAACGACCCTGCAGTTCGTAACATGCAAAAGTAGATAGAATCGCATAATCTTATACCATCCACTATATTCCCGAGAGCAACCTTTAAAAAAGTTGGCAGTATCGCTCAAAATACAAATACCTCGTGATTTGATTTGTCATTAGTTTTAAATTCTACCAAATTTAAAACTTGAA